CGGTTTCATCTGAGCATGTGGCACTTTAAGCATTATCGTATCGCATATCGCATTTTTCTTCAATATCGCACAGCCCTAATATATAATATATATTTTTCGCCTTATAATTAAAAAATAGCATAAATTAAAATACAACAAATACTAAATGATATATAAATGCTTTGCGTAATTTATAATTTATAAAAATTTATAATTTAACACATACTTAATACATCACTTTTTGCAAAACAATGAGAATTGGGAGGAGCCTAAAATTGGCTTCACCTACAGAAGAAGTGAGTATACGTTTTTTTTATGAATCTTTGCAAATCTCCTTTCCTAATAGTGTGCTAGTTAGCAAGTTCTGCGATGAATGCAGCTAAAGTTTACAGTCTCATGAGAACGGCTTGTCACCCCACGGAAGAGAGGGGCGGGGTGAGCAGAGCTCATTAGCATTTAAAGGGACATGCACTGAAATGGCTCGCTGTGAACAGAGCTGTTTTTGACAAGGTAAAATAGGTGTTGTTTTACACTACCATTGACAAATTTTACCCAAAGTATGTTATAGACTTTTCATTAAGACCCTAAAGAATCATATCAACTTGTGGAAAATTGGCATCCGATGACCCCTTTAATTATCTTTCAGCATAACAAAATGTGCATTTTTTCTTCTTTTGATATTAAGCTGAAATGTTTTTTTTAAATTTTTTTTTTTAGATATTATTACACCATGTTGTAACCAGGTATAATGCAATAAAAACACATGCAATTAACCACATTTCTACCATGTTGAGCTAAGCTATTGTCTAGTCATTATAAGCAATAAAAAACAAAAAACACTTTTCGATGGTCATTTTCATTGAGCACAGAAAACACTGTGCCTGGTAAGGACACAGTGCTGAACTTTAAAACTGTACAGTATTTATCTACTGAAATGATTAACAGCAGGTAAAACTCTCACCCGTATCAGAGATAAAAGCATGAAGCTGAGCAGACTCGTCCACGCTCCCGCTGCTGAGATCATCTAATGACTACAAACCACAATCATTTGAAACAATCATACACAATAAAACACGCCTGATGTATGTAAATATAACATATGAAGGGCTTCATTTGACATACTAAATTAATGCTTCCTGTCGGAGACCCGTTGAACGACTCTGGAGAAACAGAGAAATATGAATAAATTTTAGGAGATGATGTGTAAACAGACTCATCTGGTAGCGTGTGTGTTTGTCACCTCCGTCCCCGTGGTCTGACCCCATGTAACTGGGCTCTTTCAGCATGTCCAGCTCGGCCAGCATCCGCACATACAGCGGGTGCTGCTTAAACGACGGGTAGAACCTCTCATCCCGCAACATCATATCATACACCTGAGGAACACAGACAGCTAATATAGTGGGCTTTTTAATGGATATATTAGTCGAAATAGGCCTGCATGATAAACCGTCAAAAATCTCAAATTCTCATTGTATAATATGGAAAAAGTTTAACACTTGCTAGTTAATTACACTTGCATACACTACTGTTCAAAACTACTGTTTAGATCGGTAAGATTTTTTTTAATCAAGTCTCTTTTGCTCACCAAGGCTGCATTTATTTGATCAAAAATATTTTATCATTTAAAATAACTTTTCTATGTGAATATATGTTGAAATGTAATTTATTTCTTTGATCAAAACTGAATTTTCAGCATCATTTCACCCGTCTTCAGTGTCACATGATCCTTCACAAATCAATCTAATATGCTGATTTGCTGCTCAAAAAACATTTCTGATTATTATCAGTGTTAAAGTGACTTGAGGAAATTTACAGTCCATGAATATTTTTACTGGCCTTTAAACTGTATGTGAATTATTTCATTAAAAAACAGGCAGAACAAATTGGGGAAACACATCTAATTGCAATTTTTATTTTGTATTGATATTAATATTTGTATTTACTTACTTTTATTATTAATTAATCAAACCATAAAAAATAATCTGATGTACTTAATTATCTTTTCTTTATAATACTACTGAACTGCAAAGAAGTTCATAATAAATTTTAATTGAATAATTATTATTATAATTAATATTGTTATTATAATTAATATTTTTATATTATATAACAACAGTTCAATCATGACAACTCTCTGAAGATTTTAGCATGGTGATGCATATGACAATGTTAATGTATTTGGTCTTGGCGGAATAGATCTGCTACGCTGCTGCTGAATTGCTGCTCCTGTTGGTTATTGCTGTAGTTGTAGATTGCCCTCCACCGTCAGCCAGAAGAACAGGATCGCCTGACCGCCCATGGGCTGCATGTAGTCTAGAGACAGAGAGAGATTAAAGGTATCGAGGAATGATATCTAAAGAGAGGACAGATTGTGTGCATCCGCCTCGACTCACCCATGAAGAACTGCAGCGCGATGTTGTGCACTAATATATGTTCCAACGGAATCACACACAGCTTCCCAAAATTAGCTGCGAGTTTCAATGCGTCAACTTCCTGTTCGGAAAAAAAACAACCAAACGTGTTAAAAAGACATATTGACAGGTGAAATGTTAATTGTCAGACAACTGATTAATTGCTGCTAAAACCTGAAAATTATTTTTTTTTAAAGTACAATAAGTCAATTTTATTATGTATTTTATAATGTTTTTGAAAAACAGTTATTTCTGTAATAAACATCATTAATAACAGTAATTAATTATATTGGAACATACTGAAATAACTGTTTGCAATACTATAATAACATAATACCGTTATTAATAATAATAATGATTTTGGAAAATAGTAATTTCTGTATTTTCCAAAAATATTCTTATTAATAATAGTAATTAATTATATTAATTGTCTGTATACTTTTCTGTAATATATATATTCTGTATAATAATATATTCTGTAGTATATAATTTAATAATAAATTTGTTATACATTCTTATTTAGATATATATTTATATTTTGAATTACTTTTTATTTTCAAACTTTCCATTTTCTTTTTAATTTTAAAGTGTTAGTAATTTTGTTTTTTTCTTAGTTTTTTTTTTAAATAATTAGATACTGTATAGCTTTTATGAATTTATATTTCAGTTTTAGTTATTAAAGTACATCAAGTCAAATAAAATTAAAATGAGAAGCAGCTAAAACATAGTTTGTTTGTTTGTTTTTATTTCAGTTCAGTCTTATTTCAAGAAATGAAAATGTTTATAATGGTTTTAGTTTCAGTTAACTATAATAACCCTGATTAAGAGGAATTATTTCATATGTTTTATTTACACTATTGTAAATTGATCATTATTGAAAATAAATTGAAATTCCTAGCAAATATAAATGTTTTTAATGAATATTCATGTATTATAAGAAAGCAAATGTGAATGAAACAGGAGAGATTTGTTTACCTTCCCTGATTGTAGCCGTTGTATCCGTGTTTCACAGACTTTCTTCACAAAGAGCAAACTGTTGATTTGATTCTTTATGAAGTTGATATCTGTAAATGTGGAGAGAGAGAGAATGAAGAGTAAACAGTGTTTGTTATTATAAAGCCTTGAACTTGCTCTCAAATTTTCCAAAACAAACCCCGGAATTCATTGTTTATTTTCCAACCGAATGAAAAAACACTTAACACTTAAGCGTATGTGTGTAAACACGAGTGAGCGCGTGTACCGTCTCCTCCCGTGTCCAGAGATCGGAGGTACTGAAGCTCCTCCAGGACTTTGTCTTTGACGGCCTCCAGCTCGGCTGCTTTGTCTGTCAGCTTTAAGATGTTCAAGAAGGCCTCGTAGTTACAGCTGGAGTCCCGAATCTAAACACACACACAAAACTTCTTAAAGGTAATTCATGACACGCTCTAATATCTTATTTATATTAATTATAAGTATATATATATATATATATAAGTATATAATTTAGTAATAAATTTGTTATACATTCTTATTTAGATAGTATTACAGTTTTTAATAATATTTTGAATTACTTTTTATTTTTAAACTTTCCATTTTCTTTTTAATTTTAAAGTGTTAGTAATTTTTTTTTTTTCTTAGTTTTTAAAAAAAAAATAATTAGATACTGTATAGCTTTTATTAATTTATATTTCAGTTTTAGTTATTAAAGTACATCAAGTCAAATAAAATTAAAATGAGAAGCAGCTAAAACATAGTTTGTTTGTTTGTTTTTATTTCAGTTCAGTCTTATTTCAAGAAATGAAAATGTTTATAATGGTTTGTGGTATAATGTCAATTACCACAGAGAATAATTTAGACATTTTCCAAATTGCATTTTATAGGAAAATTTGCAGTAGTTTAAATTATAATAAATGTTATTTGATATAGTATTAATTAATATTTTACTTTTCCATTTTTTATTATTTTATTTATTTTTATTAATATTATTTTAAGTTTGTCATTTTGCTGTGTGTCGTCATTTTTTTATTTCTATTTAGCTTTATTGTTTATTTCAGTATTAGTAATTTTAGTACTTATATTTCAATTAGTTGCCAAGGCAACATTTCCATTTTTCATATTTCTATTTAGCTTTATTTTACTTTTAGTTTTAGAAATGTTAGTACTTAAACTTTTTTATTTCAATTAGTTGCCAAGGCAACATTTACTTATTTTTAAGTTTTTAGGTTTAAGTTTTTCATCTTATTTTTTCTTTTAGCTTTATAAAGGCATTAAAAAGCTGCAGACTGAAAATGTTTTAAGAGCGGTGTTATTTTAGTATTGAATTATAGCGTTTATTAAGATTTTGAATCAATGTTTATTTTTATATTTTCCATTTTCATTTCAATTCAAGTTTTTAGGTTTCAGTTTTTTATCTTATATTTTATTTTAGCTTTATTTCAAATAACAAAAACTATTTTTATTTTTATATTTTCCATTTTCATTTCAATTCAAGTTTTTAGGTTTCAGTTTTTAATCTTATATTTTATTTTAGCTTTATTTCAAATAACAAAAACTATTTTTTAACAGTTTTAATTTTGCTCTCATTGCAACGGAAGGCAGAGAAGAAGGTTACAGGTCTTAATAGGTTTGCATAACAATAATACATGGTTTTCTCCACATAAACTGTGCTTTACAGTTTTCATCCCTTTTTTAGCTGACCAAAGATAAGATGTTATTTGAATGAATTTGGGACTGATTTAGCATGTGTGAGTGTCTCACCCTGAGGAAGTATCTCATATTCTTGTTGTGGAAATCTCCAGAAGGTAGCAACAGGTACAGCAGCACTTCACAGAGATCCCGCAGGTAACCTGCACCAAAAAAACACTGTAAAACACAGTGTTTTGTCTTTGAAATGTGCAGCGCTCGCACACATTTAATTAAATCATTGCCTATTGAAGTTTATCAATCACATTTGGCCTTATTCATGCTTTTCCATCCAAATTTCAAAATTTAAGACATCTAAAACTGATAATTAAGATTTTTTATACCATTTAAGACTTTTCATGTCCTTAAATTTCATAAGACTTTTTTTAAGGATTCACAGAAACCATAGAATCTACTTTTATGGTGTTTTTTTGTGAAACTCAACAGCTACTGTTCCCATTTACTATCAGTGTGTGGAAAACAGCAGCGTAAACATTCATCAAAACATCTGCAGAAGAAAGAAAGTTGGTTTTGGAAAGACATCAGGGTGAGTAAATGATTTGTGATCAATGATGATGGAACGCAGATGTGATCAAATGACATCTTTTATATTCACAGGGCACATTTATACACACTTCTCCACCCAGCAATCGTGTTTCAAAGATTTCTCAAAGCTCAAAGCATTTCCTTGCATTCATGACTGGGTGTGTGTTTATATTTTGGGCTAATTAAGTCTTTCAGCTGCTCTGGCATATAAGATCTGCCCTAAAGAAGCATGTTCAACTTATTCATGACTATTGTTGACATAAACCCAAACCACGCCTTGAATCACTGGGCTGGAGTCTCTGAACTGTCTATAGACACAAATCCTTCGTGTTTGTCTTACCTTCTTCATCCTTGCGTGACGTGCACACGACATCTCTACAAATCTTCCTCTCCATTTCCACCTCCGCCTCAAAAAACGAGTCCAACAACTCTTCCGGAGCATCACCTGCCGCAAACACACAAATAAAAGACATGAGGGTGAGTAAATGATTTGTGATCAATGATGATGGAACGCAGATGTGATCACATGACATCTTTTATATTCACAGGGCACATTTATACACACTTCTCCACCCAGCAATCGTGTTTCAAAGATTTCTCAAAGCTCAAAGCATTTCCTTGCATTCATGACTGGGTGTGTGTTTATATTTTGGGCTAATTAAGTCTTTCAGCTGGTCTGGCATATAAGATCTGCCCTAGAGAAGCATGTTCAACTTATTCATGACTATTGTTGACATAAACCCAAACCACGCCTTGAATCACTGGGCTGGAGTCTCTGAACTGTCTATAGACACAAATCCTTCGTGTTTGTCTTACCTTCTTCATCCTTGCGTGACGTGCACACGACATCTCTACAAATCTTCCTCTCCATTTCCACCTCCGCCTCAAAAAACGAGTCCAGCAACTCGTCCGGAGCATCACCTGCCACAAACACACAGACGGCGTCATGCACAAGCTCACATTATGAGTCAGTACAATCAAGGTCCCATTAAAGATGCCCTGTACTCAGTGAACGGGAAGTGGCATTAGTAAATCAACTGTTTTTTTACACGCTATAGACCAATTATAGGTTTGTAAACATTCAGGATGTGCACTCATCATGGTTGCAGAAAACCCGGGAGAGATAGCCTTTACGGCTAGAAAATTACACGGATACAGTACAAAATATTTAGGTTTAAAAAGATTATAGATTATATTGATTAGATGTCATTTTCAAAATGTTCTGCGCATATTACAAGAGCTTGTCAGCCAGCGATAAGCACTGTTATTCAACGAAATTGACGTTAGAGAGTGGGATAGACTTACAGATCCAAAACAGGGATGACGTTTTTTTGTGGGCGGAGCCAATCTGGTGGCAGAAAATGATTTGATTTTCTATTTCAAAATTCTGACTTTTTTATCGCAATTCCGAGATTATATCTCACAATTCTAATAAGGAAAAACAACTCGTCATTCTCTCTTTTCCCCTCGGCTCTTCTGGCTTTTTTCCCTCAGAGGCACAAATATATTTTTTCTTTTATTCCATGGATTTTACCCATTTACCTCCACTTGTTCCCAGTGTTTTTCTGCAACCACTATGCGCGCGCAGCTGCAAGTGACGTAACTGTGATGTCTACTCTGAATTGGTCTATAGGTTTAGTCCTGATATTGAGATCTTTACATCACGTCCTAATCAGCTGTGATGCAATAAAAAGCTCTAGGTTGCTCTACTCACTCGTCTGACTCTATTTTACGAGGTTAGATAACCCACAAATAAAACAGCACCATTCTCATTCCTCAAAACATCTACTCCAGCATTCCTCAGAAGAAATCAAGTTAAATGGGTTAGAAAAGACATGAGAGTGAGCAAATGATGACATTTTAACTTTTTGCTTCATTACAGTTAAACTTTACATTTGTTACATTTGTTAACACTCAGTCAACATGAACTAACAATCGGGGTTATTTTAGTATAACTGAGATACTGTTACAGTAATGTATATTACTATTTTGATTTAGCTTTTATTTTAATATTTTACAGTTTTGATTTTAATGATATTAAAATTTTAATTAATTAATTTTAGTTCAAGTTAGTACTTAAGTCTATTGTTATTGCAGTTTTAGTTTAGTTATATTAATTCACAAGATAAACTAAATGAAAATGAGAAATGTTTCTTTGGCAACCAGTTGAAATTAAATAAGTTTAAGTTTTTTATATTTTATTTCAGGTTTTTTTTTCCACTGTTTTTTGTTTTTAGTTTTAGTTATAAAAAGTAACCCTGCAAACAATGAAAAATATTTCTGAAGCATTTATTAATCTTATTTTAACATTTAATAATACATTATTAAAATAAAAAAACTATTAATATTATTTAATGAACTAACAATGAGCTAACATGAACAGTTAAATAAATATGGATACATTTTATAAATGCATGTATACTCAATTAATTCACAAAATTCACAAATTAGTTAATTAAAGCATTAGCTAACATGAACTAATGGGACCTTAGTGTGAAGTGTTACCAGTATTGCAGTCTTGCAGCCACTGATAAACTGTTTGATTTGGTTTTGCAGAGAGTGTGAACTGAGAGAAGAGAACAGAACAATCCTTACGTTGTTTTGGATCTTCTCTCTCGTTCAACCTCTCCTGAGCTTTCCTGAAAACACGTAGATGAGTCGCAAAGTCATCCACCAGTCTGGTGGTGAAATACGGCTGCCAGTCCACCTCTTTAGACCTGAAGAAAGGAAAGATTGAGCACTTAATGAATCACAGGATTAACGGTCTCCATTTCTACACTGCGTTTAGCAGGGAAAATGTGTCAGAACATCTGAATGCAGTGCTTGGTTTGTGGTCAGGTGTCACCATAGCGTCACTCACATGCTGATACAGCTGTGATTTTAAAGCAGATCTGTGTCAGACAGGTGTCTTACCTGGTGGAGAACTCAACGAGTGCGTTCTGGACTGTCTGACGGATCTCCAAGAGGAACGTTTCATCATCACTCAGTGTGTAATACCAATACTGGATATAGTCCCGCAAGGCGAACTGGATGACCTGATGAACGACATGAGAAGAGGATCAGATGATCATTTCCTGAAACGAACAGGACACCATTTGTAGGGTCCTATGAAATCTCATTTATTTTTTCCCAAATTCCATTAAATTTCCCCCCCAAATTCCGTTCTTTGTTTTTTGTTGTTGTTTTTTTATTTATCTGAATTTTTCTTTTTTGTCCATTTTCTTTTTTAGACTTCATTTTAACTGTTAAATTCAAAAGCAAGTCTAATTTAAATTCTAAGTCTATTAATATTTTTTTTTTTTTTTTTTTTTTTTAAATAGGCATTTATAAATGCGTTTTATTTTTTTCTCAAATTCCAATTTATTTTTTTTACCAAATTCTGTGTTCTTCATTAAAATTTTTCTGGATTCCATTTCAATAGTAATTAATTTGAATAATCAATTTTAGTACTACTACTACTACTACTACTATTATTATTATTATTAAACAGATATTTCTGTGAAACAGTAATTTATTTGTCACAACTTCTTCAAGTTAAACTGAACTTTTATTTTCCATGAAGACCTTTGAGTTTCTGTATGTATATTATATGATGATAGTTTTTCTCAAACGAAACTGCAAAATGCTCATGAAGACTCTCAGAAATCCAGAAAAAAAATAACAGAATTTCCAAAAAATAAACCATTTCTTATGGCCTTACTATTGTAAAAATTGTTAAAGTTTTATTTATTAAATTAATTAATTAAACCATTAAAAGGGAAACTAGAAAAAATGTAATGAAAACCACAGAATTTGGGAAAAATAAAACTGAATTTGGGAAAAAATAATCTGGATTTCATACGGCCTCACAAGGAAATGTATTTTTCTGGATCATGTGCTCTCGGTTCTTTTTGGCACAGACACAATGACCCATCACTGCTACTGCAAAGGACTCTGGGTAGACATTCCAGAGCAGATGTGAAGCTCAGCAGAACAGACTGAGAGTTGGAGCTGCTGACGCATTCTCATGACTGTCTTTAACTTAACGCAATTTCCTTAAAACCTCAGACTTACACAGGATGAGTTACACAATGATTTCACTCATAAAGAGGTCTTATACTATGGGACGAGATTTTAATGCGGTCACATCATGAAAAAAACGGATACTTATTGGTCTTTTCTCACGTCTACAAGTCTCTACAGTCCACCCAGACCAGTTACTGAAACTAAACCACAAAAAACAGGAACCATTTTTGAACACATCAGCCTTGTTCCAAAAACCTAGACTGCTGCCTACCAAGACAACATTTTTAGGCAATACCCTCCACATGGAGGCTGTTCAAAACAGTAGGTAACACACCATGCTTTTGATAATAAATGTGTACTAAATAATAAATCCAGAAAAACTAAAACAGATAACTGAGAATTCTGAAAAATATATTTATAAAATATTTCATAGGGCTCCAATATTTTTAAAAATGTTAATAAATTATTATTAATTATTAAATTAATTAAAAGTAATTATTAAATTATTAATGTAATTATTAAATTTAAAGGGGTCATATGACGTTGCTAAAAAAGAACATTATTTTGTGTATTTGGTGTAATGAAATGTGTTTATGCAGTTTAAGGTTAAAAAAACACATTATTTTCCACTTACTGTACATTATTGTTTCTCCTCTATGCCCCGCCTTTCTGAAACGCGTCAATTTTTACAAAGCTCATCGGTCTGAAAAGCGAGGTGTGCTCTGATTGGCCAGCTATCCAGTGCGTTGTGATTGGCCGAATATCTCAAGCGCGTGACGAAAATGTTATGCCACTTTCCATACTGTGATGCCGTGTCCCGGCCGGAGCGACGAGACAATTGACCTCCGTAAAATGCACTGTACACATCTGAATATTTGGGGTGAACTGTTCTGGAACGGTGTTGTAAATACAACTTAACCACTGATTTCTAGTCGTGTCCTCTTTTGGAAGGCCAAAC